GCGGGCGGCGCTCCCCGGCACCCAGGTGACAGCCAGTGACCGGGGAGATGGGGGGCTGGGAGGAAAACGAAGTTCCGAAGTGGTATCTGCGCGACCGGGTGGAGATCGGCCTCCCCTTCCCAGCGGAATATGTCTGGGTCCCCTTTACCCCCTGGAAGGGATGCCGCGCCCCTTGTGACACGAGAAGTCCCCCGAGATGGTCCTGTTCCCTTACCCAAAACGCCTGTTCTGAGTTCGGGGGCTGCGAACCTATCAGTGGTTCCTGCTTCCAGCGTCCAGCTTCGCAGAGCCGAGCGAGGCAGCTTCGTGGTTCCCACTTCACCGTGGAGCAAACTGAGGCGTAGGAGCAGGTGACAGTCAAAACTTGAAACCAGGTTGACTGCAAATCTCATTGCCTGGTACCACCGCCGCTCCTCCCTCGTAGACCACTTTCCGAGTTCCTGGCGCCGTCTTACCCGGTTTTCACTAGTCCTTGGGTCCATTCTATAAATGAGGAAACTGAGGCTTGAGCTCGTAACCAGTGGTCAGTTCTCCCAAGCCTGCTCTTCCTTTCCTGGTCTCCTCCTCCTTCCAAGCCCTTTAGGCTCCAGCTCCGGTGCTCCCTTTGGGAAGCCCTTCCCAGAAGCTGCCGGTATGGCCTTGGCCTCGCTACCCATCCTGAGAACCCCTTCGCCCTCGGTGTGTCTGCGGCGCCCTCTGCAGGTGGTCAGTGGCTGGTGCAGGACTGTAGCGGGCAGGCCGACAATGCTACACCAATAAGAAGTGGGCCTTGGTGTACCTTGGCTGATCCTTCAAGGGCTCCATTGACTCTAGTCCTCAGCCTGGGGACCCTCGGGAGGGCCATACATACATACGAAACCCTCCCTTCTGAGGTGACAATATCCGGTCTGAACCCCAAGAGAAATGTCACCATATAGCTTGAAAACTTCTCAGGAAAAGAGATGTTTTGTATCACTGGCCCCATCTCCACCTGTTGCAAGAGGGAACTGAGACTCTGAAAATGGAAGTGCTTTGCTCCAAGGTACACAGAGTTTTAAGGAGCAGAGCCTGACTGAAGGCTGGCTGCCACTCCATGCCACCTGCCCTCCACACCATCCCTCACCCACCAACCACAGGGGAAGGCTTTCTTTCCCTTCAGCCAACCCAGTGATTTGGGGTACCTTGGGGATCCAATTTATCTTGGGGCTGGGGTGGGTGGGGTAGTTCTCAGGGAAGTGGGAAGGGGATAGGTGGCAGAAAGGACAAAGAAATCAAGCTGGTGGTAGTGTCTCATGACTGTAATTCCAGTAATTTGGGAGACTGAGACAGGAGGATGACAAGTTCCAGGCCAGCCTCAGCAATCTAGTGAGGTCCTAAGCAAACAAATAAAAAGGTCTGGGATTGTAACTTGGTGGCATAACACCTCTGGTTTCAACTTTCAGTACAAAAAGAAAGAAAGAGAGGGGGAGGGGAGGGAGAGAAAGGTGAAAATACAGGGCTCTAAGAAGGGAATAGAAGGGTGAAGTGGTGAAAAAGGCCAGGGAACGGAAAGGTTGTACCCTGGATTCATTTTTCTTTCTACCCCATAGGGTCTCTCTTGAGTAGGGTGACCATATGTCATCCAAACTGGGATGCTTTAGAGAGTAAAGAAGGTACTCACTGCCTCCCTGCCCTGCCAGGACAACAGGCATAACCCAGACACCAGACAGCAGGTGTTAAAGGGAACTGGGCCATGTGGTCCCCTTATCGCTGAGCCCTAGCCGGAGACACCATATCTGCAGTGGCCTCTCTTACTATGTACTGCTGACTTAGTGATAGACCCCCAACTCCAGCTGTGTCCCTCACATCCCCCAAGACATTTGTAGGTATCTCCATCTCGACAGTCACACCTGAGCTGGGTCCTCTTATCTCCTATCCAACTAAGGTCATCACATTTTACGTGGTCCCCCAACCTGGAAACATTCTCCCTAGCCCTTACTTTCAACTAGTAATCAAGCCTTGGCAACTCTGCTTCTACCACTTGCCATGGGGCCCCGCCTCCAAAGCCACTGTCTCAACCCAGCTCTGAGTCCTCCTCCATTCTTCTGTCAGGCCACCTTTCCTGTAATCCTAGACTTTGGCTAAAAGGGACAACAGAGATGTGAGCCATCAGGCAGATCCACCTAACTGGATGGACTCATGAATGTGTTGTAGAACATTCCAGTGCCTCTCCAGGGCTTTTTGTTGTTACTGGGATTGAACACAAGGATGCTTAACCATTGAGCTACATCTCCAGAACTTTTTAAATTTTATTTTGAGACAAGTTCTCATTAAGTTGCCTAGAGCTTTGCTAATTGCTGAGACTGTCCTTGAACTTGCAATGCCTCAGCCTCCCAAGTATCTAGATTACAAGCACATCCCACTATATTGAGCACCAGGGCTTCTTAATTGTTGGGGACCTCCAGGACCCTGACACAGTGCCTAGACACATATGTCCCTTCATTTGCCCAAGATTCAGGAGCCCTGTAGGAAGCAACTTGACTTCATTTGGAATCAGAGATGCATCCGTCTTTACTGGAACTGTCAGGAAGGAGGGCCCGGAAGGCACTGTGGGGGTGGAAGATATTTGGAAGAAAAGCAGGACTGAGCCACTGGGTATAGCAGTGAGGGAGCTAAGGGCCTTGGTGGCCTATTCTGTGCTTGCCCTTAGGGAGGGTCTGTTGGGGACAGAGAGGGTCTGTTGGGGACAGAGAGGGTCCAAGGCCAAGGAAAGGGCTGGGCCACTGGTATCCTAGCTGCGCTACTGTGAGCTCCCTCTGATGTTCAACAGTGACAAGAACAAGGTGGTTCCCACTGGGAGAGGGGAGGAGGAGGCAAGAGTTGTCAGCCATCTGAGGAGGGACCAGGGAGGAGTGACCACCCTAGCAGAGCCCTCTGTTGGTCCAGAGGCTAGGCTGTGGCAGCGCTGGCCAAGTTCTTGTGTCTGCAACACTGTGGTCAATGGAGGGGGGGACAGTGAAAGCTGCCAGTGGACTCAGGTTATATGTCAAACACTTGCCACACCCTGGCTAGAGGACAGTTGTTCCTTTCTGGGCACATGAACTGGGGGAGGCCAGGGAACATTTGGGTGCGCACTTGGGAGCACTCTAGGAAGTGTTGTATTTAACTTTTTATTACAGAAAACACGAAATGTAAATAAATGGAGACAATAGCATTATGAATAAAGACATAGTCATCTCCCACCTTCAATTTAGCAAACCCACAGCCGGTCTTATTTCCATATACCTGCTCACTCCCTCTCCTCATATTTGTTGTGTTTTTTCTTTATTTGCTGTTGTAGTGCTGAGAACTGAACCCATGGCCTCATGCATGCTAGCCCAGGGTTCTCCGACTGAGCTACACCCCCAGCCTTCCTCATAGAATTTTTTAGAAATAACTTTAGCCGTGGCACATGCTTGTGATCCCAGAGGCTCAGGAGGCGAGACAGGAGGATTGGGATTTCAAAGCCAGCCTCAGCAACGGCGAGGTGCTAAGCAACTCAGTGAGAACCTGTCTCTAAATAAAATACAAAATAGGACTGAGGATGTCTCTCAGTGATGGAGTGCCCCTGAGTTCAATCCTGGTACCCAAATAAATAAATAAATAAATAAATAGCTTTAGTGAGCTATAATCCAGAGCATGCAATTCATCCATTTAAAGTGTACAATTCAGTTCTTTTAGTATACTCCTCATATTGTGCAAACTCCACCCCAGTCCAAGTTTTAAATATGTTCATCCCCCCCCCCCAGGAAAACCCATGCCCATGAGCAGTCAGCTTTGTCCCATCCTCTCCCCCATGCCCTAAGCAATCACTGATCTACTTCCTACTTCTATGAATTTGCTGAATCCATACATTTTCATATAAAAGGGGTAACAAAATATGCGGTGTTT